CATACAGGTTGAATAAGGAAGGTGAAAGAATATAACCCTGTGGCACACCTTTCTTAATTTTAAACAATTTAAGATAGAATGAAATACTTCAAAGACATCTTATGGACTGAACTGTGTCCCCGCAAAATGGTTGTTGTAAATCCTAATCCCTATAGTTGAGGCTATAATTCTATTTGAAAATGGGCTTTTTTAATTATGTCAATGACACAAGATTAGTGTAGGGTGTGTTGGAAGTGAAATTTCTCTTGAGGCATAAAAGAGATTAAACAAGCAAGCAAGAGCGGCAGAGATGGAGGAAGAGAGATACACCAAGCCAGATGAAGACTGCTCCAGAGTTGGCACAGACAAAAAGCCTTCTCTCTAGAGCCGGCACCATGAATTCAGACTTCTCGCCTCTTAAATTGTAAGAAAATAAATTTGTTTATTAAGTGGCATTTCTGTTTAGAAGCACTAAACTAAACTAAGGGCATAATTCTAAAGGTCCTGATAAACCTGAAAGAAGAATGGGAGAAGAGTGAATGACCAAATCAAAGAAAACATGTTGGTAAATAAACTATTCCTTTAGGATGAATACTCATCGCCCTAAGAAATGTGAATGCACAGAATGGGCCTTGAGGGTCACTATACAGGAACAAAATCAATCCCTGCTCATAAATAAAAGAAAAACTCTATAAGCAAATGGAAGAATACAGAACGCTTATTTTATAGCTTTATTGGTACAATTTATTGAACTAAACATAAGGTTGAGTTTTAAAGCACCAAAGGATCAGAAGACTACATATAGCTTCTGAGTCAAAAAATGAAAAATTTGTGCAAGAAAGCAATGTCAGAAAATTTGTATGACTTATTAGTACCTACAATGACACAAAAAGGTAGGCTATGTTGTACTGCTACACTCTATTCACAATTATGTCAACAATGAGAGAAGAAAAGAGAAAGAGGGATTACAGTGTTTTAAATATGGTTAGACTATGTTCTAGGATGTGATCTTGATAAATGTGGCTGGGCCACAAAGCAGACATTTCAAAGATTCCAGTATATCCACCATCAAAATATGCACAGGAGGAACTTTTAATAACTGCAAAAACTTCATGTAAGTATTTATTCCTATAGTCAAAGGTAATCTGAAAGTTTTCATTTGTCTTGTAAAATCAATATTTCCTAAGAACTGCCAGCTGAATGGAGAAAACAGAAAATGGTAAGAGACCAAAGAGCTTCTACTCTTTTATACTCAAAAAAAAAAAAACAACAACATAACTCAAAGTGGATATTACTCTCAGAAGAAACAAAATAAAATACGAAGTGGATATTACTGTAAGGTAACACCAAATAGTAGAGAAAATATGGAAAAAATAAAAATTATAATCTTTTTCCTTCAACTCCTAAACAGAGAACTGGGGCATACTGTGAATGAATAAAAAACAAACTGATTTTATTTCTACTTCATTTTGAAATGTGAACAACGTCCTTTCCCCTGATGGCAACTAGAAATAAGGTCTAGGGTACAAAGAGTCACAAATCCTTAAAACTTGTGCCTCTTGTGACCTTTCAAATAAACAAATGAAAAGTACACAAAGAGGTCTTCAGTTCAATTTTCAGAGTAAGCAAAAATTACAAAGTTTCCCATTGTTCAAATGTTGCTTTAGAGGGCAGGTTTTACGTATCTATGAGCACCAAGCAAACAAAGCACACCAGTGAACAAGAAAACTCTCCAACACTTACTACTGTTTTTCATCCACCACTGCCTCCTGAAAAACCCTGGGTCTCAGTCTCAGCCAGTCCATGGAGACCTTGAGCGCAGGAAGAGGGTAGGCATTGTAGGACTCTTCCTGAGACTCGTTCTGGAGCGGACACTTGCACAGGATGCCAAGAAAAGACACTTGAAGATAAAATGCATTCGGAAAATATAAGACACTGAAACTGTACCAGCTAAAATTAAACTAACAGTATGAGCCATCTGTTGACTGTTACTTAACAAATATATTGCATATAACAAATACCTTTCCAAAACAGGCAAACTCTTTCACATGCTAAATATGTTATGGATAAGGTTGATAAGAGGATATGAGCCAATAACAGGCTGCAACTTGGAAGTTTAGGCTTCTTGATTTAATATTAAGAAATACAGGATCTTTTTGTCTGTGTTCTGTTACAATGATAAAAATGGCTAAGATTTATGTTTTTTCAAAGAAATCTTGTAGAACAAAGTTAATGATTTAATAATACTCACTAAAAAGGGCCAGCAACTGTGTCCAACACAGCTGCTCATCTTGGCTATAACTATGTTGCTCTGTTTCATTGCTAAAGTCACGAAGGTGGTGAAGTTGAAACAGGTTAATGACAGTGACATGCACCAACTGCTGAGAGTTGAAAGCTTTTTGGAATAGCAATCTCTGTAAAAGAAGATAGGAATACCGTATATATAATCAAGGACAGGACCCACTTTGACACAAAAATTTAACTGGCTGTCTGTATTTAGAGCCACAGATAAATAAATAGGTTCACTCTCAATCCCAGTATTTTAACTGCTATATGTGGCTGATGTTTCTCTTGCTGAGTTTTTGCCTTGAAAGGTATTAAGTCACAAACTACTAAGCCCCACAGAGCTGAGTTATTTTTCACAGTATTTTCTGCAGACCATATATTTTTACATATAATCTAAGAAAAACAGGTTTAGGATATATCAATAATTTAGTACATCTTAATTCAATAGAGGTTGTTTTATCAGAGATATGTATATATAAAAGTATTAAATTGAGACCAAAGCCTAGAAAGTAAATGCACATAACGAAATGGAACATTTCATACAAAAAGACTTAAAAAATACTTTTTGAATTCTTGGTACACAAAGCATGACTTCCAAGATTTATATAAAACGTTAATTCTTTCAAAGGCTTGACATACACATAAAGTTTGCAAAAAACATTCTATTATCTTTTAAGTCTATTTTTTCTCTCTATGAACTTTTTGAAGACTCTTTGTATTTAAAGAATCTTGACTATAAAGAGGATATGTGCAAGAACACACTGTGGAAAACAGGGTAAATGATATATTAATCATTAGCTGTTATTGGTGTTTCTACAAAGTATCACACTGACATTTTCCTTTATTAGCAATGTGTACCATTCCCACATTACAATGGTGGCACTGGTAGGTGTGACCAGCCCAAGAGTGGGGTTGGACACAAGGTTGGTGGCCAAAAAAGAGTGTTGAAGTTTTGCTGTACATGCTTAAAAAATGCAAAGAGCAATGTTGATTTAGATGTGAATTCTCTGGTTATTGAGCATATCTAGGTCAACCAAGCCCCCAAGATGCACTGCCACACTTACACAGCTCATGGTTAGATGAAACCCTACATGAGTTCCCCCTGACATACTGAGATAATCCTTACTGAAAGGAACCAATTGTCCCTAAACTAGAAAAGGAAGTTGCACAGAAGAAAAAGATACCTCAGAAGAAACTAAAGAAACAAAAACTTTTGGCTTGGGAGTAAATTAAGCTTAAAATAAAATGCAAATAAAAGTAAAAGCATACGAACAACACACAAAAAAAAGAATATGGTAAAATCCTATAGAACACAGTAATAGCTCTTTAAAGAATTTCATGGTGTACTTATAGAAGTATTAATGTATGTAAGTGGAGACTAGTTCTAACAAATGATAATGTAAATGCATGAAGGCAACATTTGTTTTGAATACTCTTGTATATCCAAGAAAGGAGCTCAGGTAGCGTAGTGGTCACGAATTGGGCTGCTAAGTTCCAGGTCAGCAATTCAAAACTACCAGCTGTTCCACAGGAAAGATGAGGCTTTCTGCTCCTGTAAAGATACACAGCCTCGGAAATCCTGTACAGGGTTGCTATGAGTTGGAACCGACTCCACGACACATAATCATCACCACCATATCTCCAAGAAGGGAGCTCTGGTAGCGTAGTGGTTACTCATCAGGCTGCTAATTGCAAGTTCAGTGCTTTTCTAGGCTCTTGGAGATATGGTGGTTGTTATGTGCCATGGAGTCAGTTCTGACTCACAGTGACCCTGTATAGGGATTCTGAAGAGCAGCTGGTGGGTTTGAACTGCCAACCATGCGGTTAGCAGTCCAGTGCTGATCCTATGGTACCTTACCAAGACTTGAAAGTATATAGTGTTTGTTGTTGTCAAGTGCCATCAATTTGGTTTGGACTTAAAGCAATCCTCTCTAGGTATAAAGAATTCAAGAAGGTTGAATGAATGAATGAATCCATTACTAAAATGCTAAAACCTATCACCTTTAGAAGTAAATGTGAAATTAACCAACTATAATTTCATAAAATTTAGATGGTATTACATTAAGTAGAGGGTCCCCTAGGGAATAAAGTCAGACTGGATTCTAATTTTGCTATTCAAATATTCAATAGCAGTCAAGGAAAATACTGAATTAAATAAATATGATTAAGAAACAGGACACTTTTAATAGATGGAAAACACCTTGCATCTCAATTTCTTTATGTTGTTAGGTGCCACTGAGTCACTCTGACTCATAGCAACCCCGTAAGGTTTTCCAAGGCTGTAAGCAGAAAGCTTCGTCTTTCTGATATGGAGTGGCTAATGGGTTTGAATTGCTGACCTTGTGGTCAGCAGTCCAGTGCTTATCTTATAGTGCCACTAGTTAATTCCTACATGTTGTCAGTTGTTAAGTGCCAATGAGTCCATTTCAACTCACAGCAACCCTGTATTTGTTGTTAAGTGCCATTGAGCTGGTTCCGACTCATAGGTGCCCTTTTTTAGGGATTCCGAGGAGTGACTGATGAGCTTGTACCATTGACCTTTCAGTCTAGTGCATTAACCCGCAGCGCCACACCAGACTCCCATATAGAAGCCATCAAAATAAGTACCTTCAAAATTGAAAAAGGGGCTAAGGACATTTTCCCCCTTACTTTGAAATATTGTCACAATATTTCTGGTAAATACACTATGTTGTTGTTAAGTGTTGCTGAGTTAGATTAGCGACCCTGGTACAGGTTTTCCAAGGAGCAGCTGGAGGATTTGAACCACCAACCTTGTGGTTATCAGTCCAGTACTTATCCTCCAGCACCACACCAGGATTCCATATTGCTGTGGATGTTAAGTGCAGTCAAGTCAGTTCCGACCCATAGAGACCCTGTAGAGGGTTTCAGATGAACAGCTGGTAAGCTTGAACCACCGACCTTGTGGTTCAAACTAGCTTTGCAGTCCAGCGCATTAACACACAGCACCACACCAGGACTCCATATGTTGTTGTTATTGTTGAGTGCTGTCAAGTTGGTTCCGACCCACAGCGACCCTGTATAGGGTTTCCGAAAAGCAGCTGGTGAGCTTGAACTGCTGACCTTGTGGTTTAAACTGACTTTGAAGTCCAGTGCATGAACTCACAGCGCCATACCAGGAATCCATATACATCTGTTTAAATCACAGTTAAGTGATGACATAAAAATTGGGAGCACGTTTCTTCCAAATCTTATACTTACTGATAAGTATAAATAAATAAAAAAATTCATTTTTGAGATCTAACCTTAAACTGTTCTTCCAATTTCTCTCGAAGAGGGCTCAACTTCTCCAAGCTCTTACTCAGGTATACATGACCGTGGAATTTAATAAAGGTCTTGATGAAGTCAGAAACACCCCATTTGGTTTTCACCTCATCCCGGCTAAAATGGAAAGAAAAAAAACAAACTTCCATCAATCTTTTGCAGCAAAATAGCTAAAATCTTTAAAGGAAGTTTTAGTTTCCGAAACAAGTTATGTAAGCATCTGATACACAAGGAGAGGATTCCACATGTAACTATAATCCACTCAAGATTAGTCATATTCAGCAGCAAATCTACTAGGAGCAAATCAAATATTGGCTGGCGGGAATTCTGGGACTATGAATAAACTTATTCTGACTTACCTGTATGTTTACAAATTAAGCAAAAATAAGAAAAGAGAAGCATAGGTAAGTGGTACTTGTTTTTAGATATATACACGAAAATCTAAGGGGCATATGTATGAGGCTATACAACATTCTCTTCAAAAGAAGTTAACCCCTACCTTTCCAGTGCTTTAGAAAGTGCTTTTTGTAGATTAGTGGAGGCAGCTGGGAAAGGGAACTTCACAGCAATACTTCTGCAGTAGTAGAAAATTGTGGTCAAATGGTCTCCTTTGGAAGAAGCTAAAATAGCCAACTGATTGTAAGGCTGACCTAGAGGACAGAGTAAAGATTATGAAGTAATCCAAGATGCACAAGTCTTGCTATATCAGAACTCAAAATTATCGGTTGTTAAATTCTCAAATTAATAACGAGGAATATTTTACAAAGGAAATCTCATGATTCTACCTTATTACAAATGGGCATAATATAAAAGGGCACACTTATTTTCTGTTTGGTGGGCCAAAATGGTCTGTTACACTGCAGGCAGTCCCTGGGTTATGAATAAGACCCATTTTTAAGTGTGTCCTTAATTTAAAAAGTGCATATGGTTCTTAAGGGCCTTAAAATAGTTCATGGAAAAATAAAATCAAAACATAATTTCAAACATCCAGTGTTTTTCCATCTTTCTGAAGCCCATTAGTATTTAGCCTTTCCTTAGTGCTTCATTTTCATCTCAGTTTGACCCCTGCTGAGCTGAGCGTTTGCCTTTCCACCCTAGTCATACTAAGCCAGAATCTACATTGTAACAAGACCCCTAGGTACACATAAGAGAATCACTTAGGGCTCTGTAAGAACCACCTGGGGAATCTCCTTGCACTCTAGACTATAATTTAGTATAACTAGGATGGAAAGGAGAATTCTCAGCAGGGGGCCTAACCAGAAGGAAGTGGTTCAAAGCCTGGCTTCAGTGAAAGAAAAGGCTCAAATTCAGTGACTTAAAAGCAGCACCTGCAACAGGAGAAGGTGGTTGTGATGAAGAATTTGTTGTGAAAGAGGAGTTGGTTCAACAGAGCAGGGGTTGGTGAAATCCTTTCTAAATCAGGGTAAATTTACATAACATTAAAGCTGTCCATGGAGTCCTGGTGTGGCACTGTGGGATAAAGCACTAGACTGCAAGGTTGGTTTGAACCACAAGGTCGGCAGTTCAAACTCACCAGCCGCTTTTCAGAAACCCCATACAGGGTCGTTAAGAGTTAGAACTGACTCCTCGGCACTTAACAACAACAGAGCTGTCTACAGCATGATAAATCTGTAACCTGGGGACTGACTGTACTCAACTCTGCCACTGAAAAGGGAAAGCAATCAAGGACAATGTAAAACAAACGGTGTGCCAGGCTGCCATGCCATTTCTGCTTTAGACCCTCTCACAGGACCCCAGTTAAGTCTGAGGGAATTTCAATGTGCGCTTAACAAGAATGACATAGCACCAAATATCTGCTGCAAATTACTTAGTTAAGGAATCACTCCTATCACCCATTTCAGAGCAGACAAAAGCACTATATTTTAAGTAATAAAAAAGAGAGGAGAGAGAACTATTCTATAAGCAATTAAGGAAACCAGAGTTTGTAGAAACTATTTTAGGTAACACTGCTATTACCGTTAAGTGCTGTTGACTATGAATCCACTCATAGTGACCCTGGGTAGGGTTTACAAAGAGTGGCTGCTGGGCTTGAATTGCAAAGAGTGACCTTGCAGTTAGCAGTTCAGTGTTTTTACTACATCACCACACCAGGAATCACAGGTAACATTGTTGCTATTAAATGTCGTCCAGTTGGTTGCAACCCTGTATAGGGTATCCAAGGAGTGGTTGGTAGGTTTGAACTGCTGACCTTGCAGTTAGCAATCCAGTGTGTTTTTCCTAAAGCAGCACACCAGGGCTCTGGGAATGTTGCTATTGTTGTTAAGTGTCATCCAGCTGGTTCCGACACACAGCGACCCTGTATAGAGTTTTTGTGGCGCAGCTGGTAAGCTTGAACCACTGGCCTGGCAGCTCAAATCGACTTTGCAGTCCAACACATTAATTCACCGCATCACACCAGGACTCCCCGGGAACATTGTTGTTGTTGTTGTTGTTAAGGATATTAATTTATAGACAGTCCCTGGGTCTGTCTGACTTGACATACAATCTACAGTCAACCTCCATACAGTTTATTGTATTTTAGAAGTCCCAGGTACACACAATGGTTCATAATAATAAGTGGGTGCTACTTTGTAAAGTACAGCAAACCATTATTATTACTGTATGTTGTTGAGTCTGTTCCAAATCTTAGACACCCTGGGGAGGGTTTCTGAGGCTGCTTTCCTTACAGGAGCAGAAAAACTCATTTTTCTCCAGTGGAATGGCTGGTGGATTCGAACTACTGACCATGCATTAACAGTGCAACTCACTGCCACTTCTTTTATTATGTTACAGACGCTTTAGTGTATTTGGAAGTGTTTCTTAATATATTTTTTTTAATGCACAGAAAGGTACACTATATACTACATACTAAGACAAACCTCTAACATTAGCTCTGGTGGTACATTAGAATAACCACTGGACTGCGAACAGCAAAGTTGGCAGTTCAACCCCATCAGTCATTTCTTGGGAGAAAGATGAGACTTTCTGCTCCCATAAAGATTTATAGGCTTGGAAACCCTATAAAGGGTCACTATGAGTTGGGAACGACTTGATGGCAGGTTTTGGTTTTCTAGGAATCTGTTCCAACTTGTAATACAAATTTGATTTAAAAGCTGACTTATGAACAGAACTCATTTATAATCTGTGGGCTACCTGTATACTGTTTTACTAACAATAAAAGCCATGTTTGTTTGTTTTTTTAAAAAACATGTCAGGTCTTTTGGAATGTACAGATAAAAGGAAAAATATGACACTCAATACAACATTTACTGCTTTCATGAAACTTGAAAGATGAGCCATAAGTGATTTTCCTATTGCTATAAAGCATCATAGACAACCTTAAGCAAGTTGACAGGCCCACTCACCATTGGAGGGGACAAGCTGAGCTGCATGCCTATAGTAGGACTCTGCCTGGCTGGTCTGGTTTCTGTATCGAGCTAAGAGAAGGAAAAAGAAAATTGAACGTAAAAAACAACAACAACAAAACCCCAGTAGGGGAGTATTTCCAAAATGGCTATAATTTTAAATTCTAATATAATAAAGACATTACAATTAATTTAAGGTTAAAGACAGAAATCAAATACTTTAAAACAAATTAACTGTAGGATTATGTGTGAAGTGTCCATCTGGCCTTCCCTACTTGGGACATTCAGCATGGAACCAATTTTAAAGCTTACCTAGCCCCCATTTTCAGGTCCTCCAGTGTCATGCATCACCAGCTCCCACTATGGACTATGCTGGTGAGCTGGAGCCGGCCCACAAGAAGGGGTGAGTTATATGCCACTTAAAAACAAAACAAAACAAAAAACACTATACAATATGATCTGAAAATTATGTATTTCTTCAATATCTTATAGAGTGATTTTGAAAAATGCCTATCTATTGCAACATTATGCATGTGTGTGCAAATAATACATTTAAAGCAAAACCAACCTAGGCATACTGCTCATTGAATCTCACTGCAGAACTCAGTGCTTACTTTGATGTGACCCCTCATGAAGCCAATGATTTATGACACCAAGAAACCTAAATCTTCAAACTTAAAAATAGTAATGCTCTCCATTCCTTGCTATTTGAGGACAGTCAAAACATAATCCTATAGTTAATTTGTTTTACAACCTTATGAGGTTATCTTAAGGAATGAACAAGAATAAATAAGTTAAATAACATTCCTAGATAAAATACATAAAATAAAAATTGAACTTAATTTTTAAAAGAAAGCAAAATTAAAAGTAAGTATTTAATGTGGTAAGAAGAAAATCAGACAATTTAGTTATAATAGGAATAATTTATAAACCATATAATTCCAACAGAGTACAAACTTAATTTAAAAAATTTGAAAGCTGAAGTTTTGATTTCATTTTTGCTATTTAGCATCAATCTAGATCAACAGTAGTTTTGCATACTGTCTGAGTAAAACTTAAATCTTAATAGGAAAGTTACTCCTTCAAGATCCTCTGTCAATCCCAGAACACTGAGAGATGTTAATTAAGTTCCTTAAAATACATTTAAGAATTTCCTATGATGACAATTTAAATTTTGTGTCTATGTTTAAAGGAAAAGCTTCTTTCTATGGCTACTCAGAAGAAAAAGATGAATGTAATTCTCCATTCCTTTACACCAAAAGCTCACCAATGTCTCCAAGGTGGACGAGGCAGTGCTGGCAGATATAGGAACAGGAGCTAGACTGTGGCTTCACTATGGCGCTGGTATGCGTCTGTTTATTGCTGATAATCCCCAGTTGGGAAGACTTCACACGGCATGGTAAATCTACATTAAACACTGTACACAGCTCTTGTAGTAACTAAAAGAAAAACATATGTAAGATTTACTAATGAGCTAGATAAGCCGTAAATAAAGTCTACACGTTAAGACATGCTATAATAAAAGTTATTCACTTGCTTAAATATACTTTTACAAATACCATGTCCCCTCAATAAAAATGGTTTTTACTTTTATAATTTTACAGATAAATGTTTTATGACTAGTCAACTAAACTCTTTGAAATTGTAGACATACTTGTCACATAATAAAGTAAGGTTAAGAATCATTTTTTTAAAAAAACCTTTCAAGATAAAAAGCAATCTATATAAAGACAATTATAAAAATATATCATCAAAAAATATTAACTTCCACACACCCTCAAATTTCTAAATAAAAGGATAAAAGAAAACTGAAGAAAGAGTTTACAAAAACATGACTTAGAAAAACTCAAACACACTCACGCCTCATTTATCAACATGGTTTGGTTCCAAAGAGCAGGCTGTTGTGTGAAATTGGCATTAAGTGAGAGTCAGGGGTCCTGTCTCCAGTGAGTGTCCCCTCCTCCACAGTCACTCACCACCTGTAGGGCACCCTTGGTGCATCTTGGGATGTGTGTATAGCAGCGGGCACCCTTTCCTCATCACTGTGAAACCCAAGGAAATTGGCAGTGGTAGCTGGGTGTCACTTGTTTTCCAACAACTCCCACTTTGAGCAAAGACTCTGCTCATCTTCCACCTGCTGCCACCCACTGCTTGTCCTGGGCAGGGACACTACTTGTCCTCCATTTGTCCCAGTCTTACAGTCCTAGACTGTCCCCTCTTCCTCTCTCACCCTTACTGTACCCCACACCACCACCTCTGGATCCTTGCCTAGCCTCCCTTCTCCCAGCCAGCAACTTCACTTTGTCTGGCCATTGCCTCACACCCTCTATGGTCAGACCACGACTTCATGGATGAATGGGAGAGGTATCCAGTGGCCAGTTAGGTGCTGTTCTTCATGTGGCCTAGTCATTGCCTGGACCTCAAATATATCATTTGGGTTGGTCTGTGAAGGAGTAGGCATGATATCCTTTTAGATATATGGTAAAGGGTTTTAAAAGTACATGGAAATTTTCCATTATCTTTTAATTCCATTTTCCACAAACATTTTGAACCCCGCTTATAGGACTCAGACAAATCACGGAAAAACTAGGGATCTGAGATAAATGGTAAGTGTCAATGAGTCATGATTTATGTAAAAAGGAAATGTAAGTCTCTAATGAAATAAGCATAATGTACCTAGTAATCCAGACATTAAAATATAAATGAAAAATCATTTTCCACTTAGCAAGTATAAGTTATTCACTCACTCATCTATTCACTTTTATTCAAAATACTTAACCCTGGCAAGTGCACAATAGACATGCATTTGCTGGTGGAAAGATAAATGGTCTTTTAGGAAAACAACTTAATACTATGTGTATTATTTTCACCAATCCAATGATTCCACTTGAAGAACTGGTCTTTGGAAAATAATCCAATATTAGAGAAAATGATTTTTATACAATGATGCTTATCAAACTGTTTTAACAATATAAAGAAATGCTTACATAATAATGTTTATAAAGCAGATATAAGATTGTATAGACATTATCATCTCAACTATATAAAAAAGTACAAAAATATTGCAAGTCTGTATGTTAGAAAGTGGTGTCCTGGTGTGGCGCTGTGGGAAAATGTGCTGGACTGCAAGGTCTCTTTAAAGCACAAGGTTGGAGGTTCCAGCTCACCAGCAGTTCCTTGGAAACCCTATACAGGGTCACTGTGAGTCGGTAATGATGCAATGGTACTTAACTACAACAACAACAACATATTAAAGTAAGAAGCCCTAGCTGCATAATTGACTACGAGCAGGGTGAGCTACAAACCACAAAGTCAGCAGTTCAAATTCACTAGCCACTCCATGAAAGAAAAATAAGGCTTTCTGCTCTTATAAAAATTTGTTATTCTTGTTCAGTGCCATCGAGTCGGTTCCAACTCATAGACTCTATAATAGGGTTTCCAAGGAGTGGCTCGTGGGTTTGAACTGCCACTTTGCATAAAGATTAACAGCCACAGAAACCCTACACAAGGTCGCTATCAGTTGAAACCAACTGCACAGCACACAACCACCACCACTATCATATATCAAAGCGGAGTCCTGCTGTGGTGTTAGAGGATAAACACTGGAGAGCAACGTCAGTTTGAACCCTAAGGTCAGCAGTTCAAAGTCACCAGCTGCTCCTCAGAAACTGTATACAGAGTAGCTTTAAGTCAGACTGACTCAACAGCACTTAACAATATTTTTTGTAATTAGAAAACAGCAAAGACAAAACATATGTATTAATGTATCCCTCTTTTCCATGAGACTGGATATTTTCCTTGAAGGCAATGACTGTCTTTCTCTAGTATTATGTGTTACATACAGTAGTAGGGTTTTGTCTGGAGTTTATAGCATGAATTAATCTTTTACATTTGCTTTACGGATATTTAGTAGCTCATCAACCTGTTTCTTGAAATATTAATTTATATTACTATTAACTTGGTATAATTTTGAAAATCAATTTTGAGACTAAGAACCATACCTGAGTTTTTCCAAGAGATAACTATGATGAATGCTATAGTCTAAACAAAATATATAATCTCTAAAAGGTGGAGGCTAAGTATTAGCAATCTTCCAATACAAAGATTCTTTGGCTTTACTTAAAGAAATGATAAAGTCAAAATAAAGGCAAAGTAGAAGAAACCAGGATCAAAGAGCAGCACAGAAAGAAATGACCAAAGACTTCTTTCAGTGTAAGACTTTAAAAACCTTGTCTTGCCAATATTAGATGCTAATTTAATCACAAAATTATATTAAATACAAATGCTATTACAACTGGATGAGATGGAGATTTATGACAAAATCTTCATACAGTAAAGAAAATGTCACAGTTAGAAATGAGATTTATTTATTCCTCTACCTTGCTTCATAACTGGATTGCTAACCATGAGGCTGACGGTTCAAATCCACCAGCTGCTTCTTGGAAACCCTATATATGGCTTGCTAAGAGTCAGAACTGACTTGATGGCACTTAAAAACAAAAATATATAGTAGAGGAGCAATTTTATTTTATATTACGATGTAACTAAGGAGAAGGAGCATCTTTGGAAAGAGATGAATAATAGTTTGATTATTCAAAATGAGGAAAAGATAAGCCATCTCTAAGGTAGTTTAACAACACTTCAAGCTTCAAATAAATCCTATTATATAAATAATACCATGAAAGTTCATATATTTCTTATCTGTACAACATAGCTGCTACCTTCTTCCCTAATGACTACATCCATACTCATAAATTCGTATTTGCTCTAGTACTATTTGGAACTATCTTTGCTGTTTCACTAAAGTGTTCCTCTCATAATCCTTTTTCTAGTCACAGATACAGCTAAAATCTGTAAACAAAAACATCAACCATTTTAGAAGCAGAGTCTTTATTGTAACTTACTTTTAGAGGTCCTATGTAAAAAAATTGGGGACATTTAAATTATTTTGGAATTATAAAAGGTCAACTACTCCTAGAAGGTCCACAGAGTAGTACATACAAAGAGCAGAAATCTTCATCACTAGTTTTAAGAAACTTGGTATACAACGCAGAGCTCACCTGAGTATAGAAGCCACTAGCTGCCTCTAGGAACAGAGAAAGATTTGCCTGAACTTCACTCCGATTTGGGTTTGCTCGATTCTTTGCCTGGCCTTGTAGTGTTGTGATCTGATTCTTAAAGGCATGATTCCAGCTGAAAACAAAATGTAATTCTATTTGGTACAGAATTCTATTTGGTATAGCAGTGACTCACTGGGCAGACACTGATCCCCCTGAGAACAAGAAAGAACTATTTGTTATAATTATAGTTATGACAATATGCCTGCATTAAAGTCATTTACTTATTTACATAACTTTTTTGCTCCCTTCTGAACAAAATTATAGACATGCAATAGAATCCAACTGACCTTAGTAAAACACTTACCAAATGTTTGAATAATCACATTGTAGCTTCAGCTATTAATCTTTTAGAGCTACTAGAGTTAGAGCCTATTTAGGAATTTCAGTACAAAATCAGAATAAAAGGGGTCAGAGCAAAATAAAAATAAGCTATTAGCAAATTTTAACACATTGTGCCAAAACATATTACCTGTACTCTATATCAAATGAGCTTCATAGGAGGGGGGAAAAAGGGCATTTTTCTTTTTTTGTGCTAACTGTAAATCATCTCTTTTAAGTTTCATTTCCCTAAAAGGTATTTCCCACAGCACCCTGTTCTACTTCTATTTAGTAGTTTGATTATTTCTCTTGGGATTAATATTTTCTTTAGAATCTGAAATACAAACCACATTTCCATTTTGACTACAATAAACACAACACAATGAAAAAATGTGGTATCCTAAAATCCTGCTATGGAATGCATTAATCAAGCAATTTAGAGAATCAGTTTAAATCCAGTTAGATAAAATACAGTTACTCTCTAACTTGGAAATCAGAGAAAACAAGACAAAGGCAAAGACAAATTCCAGAACTAGGATGAAGGAAGAGATTACTGACTTGATTAAAGAAAACAAATACAGAACCTACCTGGAAAGTATCTAATTCTTTATCATGTCAATTTTTGGGACTCTAGAACATTGGGTCTTTTAATGATTTAGAAAGACAATTACTCCCTCAGCATCACTGATGACATCCTCTAATATCACAGATATGGATTGTGACTGGTTGTGACTTAGCTCTATTACTAGATCTCCAAAAAAATATAAAGCATCCAAAAAAGGTGTGGAAGGTAGGAACTTATCTTCACCACAACATAGGGCATTAACCAAACGAAATATTCTGAATTGATTTAACTTCCATTAGGCTAAAGTTCTTGTCTTAATTTATAAGGCAAAACTTTCCACTAAAGTTATTTATTTACTCACTTGGGAATCTGGTCATCTGCCATTTCACCCCTCATAGAAAGAATAAGTAGAATAGACCAAACACATAAAATCTTTCTTTAATCTTACTAGAGGAAAAAAAGAAAACATCTATTTATTTGATTAAAGGAAGAACTTTCCTACAATGCAAACACATTTTTCTTTGGGAAAAATTTACAGAATCACATTTAGCAAAGAAAGACTTTTCTAAACATCACTCTTAAATTTTTTTAAAATCATGACTGAACAGAGAATCTAAATACAAATCTCAGTATTTGATATCCATATTTGGTTTTCTGATACAGTGTTCTATTAATCTTAAGAAGATTTAACTTTGAACATTTTTCCTTACCTCAATAATAAAACCGAAAACACCAATAACCAAATATTTTGTTTAAAAACACAAATACTAGGAATTCTTTTGATGAAAAAGCTTACTCTGAGATAAATTTAAAAAAAAACAACAACTGAATTGTTCTCTTCTAAAATCTTGGTGAGACTCTTAATCTTACTAGTACTTTCAAGTGATAATACTTACAGATCCTGTTCTACTTTCTTGTCTAAAGCATATTCCAAATCAGTAACGAGCATTTTCTGGTACAGGTCCTGCAGAGCCTGCCGAGATGTCCAGACCTCAGCTGGACCCAGCTTAGAATCTGAGTTTAAAAAAATAACAGTAGATAAATAGATAGTCAAGATTATTACACCACACTAATCATTCTTTCCCTCTCCATTTTCCAAAGAAAAGCCTGTTTAAGTATATACTACAGAAATTTTAAGTGATGTTCACCTTTTGGATACCAACTAAAACATAGTTTTAAATGCTGGTGCATTTGTTTTCCTTTAGCGATGATATAACACCAAGATACAAGACATACAAAGAGATTTTTAAAAAAGAAAAAGAAAAAAAAAAAACCCAAAAATGGTTTATCCTGTGCATTTGGTTTGGATTTCTGCCTCTTCTATCTCAGGAGAATCCTGTGGTGGCACTGTAGGATAAGCACAGGGCTGCTAACCACAGGCTCCCCAGAAACCCTATACAGGGTCACTGTGAGTTGAAACTGACTTGACAGCACTTAAAAAACAACATCACAGGAAGTCATATGCCTAATATTTGATGAGCAAGTGCCAAATTTGGTCTGTGTACTTATAACCATACCTTGTTGTCCAAAGCAAATCTTTTCTTTTTATTCTGAATCATTCTCACATAGGCACTTACAGTTTAACGACTGGTAGACTGCTTTCTGACTCTATGGGCTATGCATTGAGCTGCTAACCTCAAAGTCCACGATTCAAACCCACAAGCTGCTCTGCAGGGGAACGATGAGGTTGTCTGCTCCCATAGATTTACAGACTCAGAAACTCCATGTAGGGTCACTATTAGTTGGAATCGACTCAATGGCAGTGGGTTGGGATTGGTGGGTAGACTGCTTTCCATGAAACTTTTGTGAGCAATCCACACTGACCATTTAATTAAAAAGGAGGGCGGCTTATAAAAGACAATGATTAATCTGCTCAAGAGGTCAGATAAGGACAAGGTGAAATCAGAGCCAAGCTAGAAGTTGGGCTATGACTACATGTTCATTTCAATTTGGGGCCATACTGTGTGCCCGAATTCTGTAAGGCAAAGTAACCTTCTTCATTACTGAGCTTATGGGTGCAATAATTGACAGTGAGCTGTTCCGCAGAAGAACCTATTACTGGAATTTTAAATTTATTTTTCCATAGCTAGTTATGCTATGTGGTTGCATTAGGGTTCTGCTGCTGCACAATGTACAATCTTCCCCATGCTACAGACTTACTATTAATATCTACAGCTACCAGGATCCTACTCTGCTCAGAGGCTCTCCTAGATATTTGTATTAATGGTCAAGGGTTTGTTTCCCAGTTAAATCTACAGCACAGTATTTACTTGATTCCTTATCAATTCTTAATCACTAAGTAAATCTACTTATGGATTTATTTAACTTTGCTTCAATTCATTTAATTCATTTGTTTCAGTTCAGGAAAGGGACTGTAAGGGATCATTAATTCTGACCTAGCAGAGTCCTGGTGTGGCGCTGTGGGTTAATGCGTCAGACTGCAGAGCTGTTTGAACTGAAAGGTCGGCATTCAAGCTCACCAGCTGCTCCTTGGAAACCCTACACAGGGTCGCTATGGGTCGGAACTGACTCTAAGGCACTTCACAACAACAACATGAATAGATTATCATTTAAACAAGTATACTTAATATTTGATTTCTCTGGGCAAATATCCCTATAAAAAATCCCAAAGCCACCTTAGTGGGGATGTTCAATACTTATAGAAAAGTAAATGGCACAGTAGTAGTTTAACTCTGTGCACTATACTTGTCATATAATACAGATTATACTTACTAATACTGATGGTGAAAATTCTGTTGTTAACAGAAAAATTGCAGGGCTATACTAAGGAAACATAGATGCTTTTTGTGCGTGCTTCTTTGAAAGATTACAATGAGGTTACCTGTGAAGCTGCATAACTATAAAAACAACGAACATGTAAAGCAGATAGTGAATCATCGTCTGTTTTTGAAACTAAGACAGTATTTAGTACTACACGTAATATAAGAAAGAGAGTACAGAAAAAAACCAAACCCACTGCTGTTGAGTACACGGGCTCCAAGAGTTTTCTTGGCTTTAGTCTTTATGGAAACAGTTCACCAGGTCTTTCTTCCATGGAGCTGCTGGGTGGGTTTGAACCACCAACCCTTAGGTTAGCAGCCAATCACAAACCGCTTTCATCACCCAAGCTCCTGAAAAGAGGCCTGGTAATTTAATAATAATATAAAATAAGTAAAAAACAGACAAGTCAGCCAGTACCTGTCATGTCAGCCTTCAGGACTTCTGCCTGCCTGAAAAATGGAAAAAAAGAACATCATTTAGACACAAACTAGCCCTGAGCAACATAAATAACCTTAACAAAATCTATCACGATAAGGTTTTATAGCAGCTATACTAGTAGCACTGACATGCTGTACTCGCTTTACACCCAGGAGAGCACAAGGTCTTAACACCTAACAGACACCATTACAAAAAAGATGGTACAGTTTTCAGTAACCTCTTCTGTTGAGTAAAGCTCACTTTCTTGTTATTAATGTCCAAATCTGATTTATTTAAGATAACATTAACTGATATTCATGAAATAAAAGCATCTTCCCTCAATGCAGCCAGGAAATCACACTGTTTCACAATTCACCAACCACCGTAACTATTTCTAATTTCCAGTCTCCTCAAGCTGCTGATTCCTGTTTATCTTTCTCATTCACAAAGCCTTTCACTTACTTATTCCACAAAACAACTTCCACTTACTTATTAAATGCTGCTGTTCTTAATTGCCATCAAATCGGTTCTGGCTCATAGCGACCCTGTATAGGGTTTCTAAGAGCGGCTGACGAGTTAGAACTGCGGACCTTGTGGTTCAATCGACCTTGAGGTCAAGTGCTTATCCTAATACCTAACTATATTCACACTGTTCTCTTTTTCTCTTGTTAAAACTCTAGAGGCTTTATGCCTCTTACCTGTGAATTCCACTTAGGCCTGGCTTTCCTTGTGCTGTTATTATTATTGTCATCAAGTTGGTTCTTAATCTTATTAATGTACAGGGTTTCTGTGAGTCCTGGTGTGGTGCTGTAGGATATGCACGCGACCATAAGGTCAGTTTAAACTTCAAGGTTGGTGGTTCAAACTCACTAGCCACTCTTTGGAAAACCTACACAGGACTGCTGTGAGTCGGAACCGACTTGACGGCACTTAACAGTAACAATAACAATAGAGTTTCTGAGGCTATAAATCTTTGCAGGAACAGAAAGAAAGCCTCTTTCTCCTGTGGAGCAGTTGGAGGGCTCGAACCTCTGACCTTATGGTTCGTGTCCCAGTGCTCAAAAAACTATAACCACCATACTCCTTTGTAGATGGATGTATATTATCATATCACTATATTTCAAGAAAGATCTTGTAATGTTCTTTATGACAACATACATTATGCTGTCCCTTTTGAATATGTAATTCCCAAAATAGCAGACCAAATGATTGTGCTATTAAAAACGGCCAAAATCAGTTTATTTAGCTCACTACTGCCTTAGTAGACTAATCTTTAAGTCTTGGGCTTCATTTTTGACAATTTCTAATTTCTTGATTCATACTTTGCACATTTCATATTCTGATTATTAATGGATGTTTGCAGCAGTTTCTTCTCATTGTGAGTTGTACCACATCAGCAAATGCTCCTCAAAACTTACTTCATCCATATTATTAAGGTCAACTCTATTTTGAGGAGGCAGCTCTTTCTTAGTTGTATTTTGAGTGTCTTTTCAACCTAAGGGGCTTTATCGTGTGGCACTGTATCAGACTTTGTTTCATTGCTATTTATAAGGGTTTCAACAGCCTTCCCCTGCCCGTTCCCCCCCTCCCTCCCAAGAAGTGGATTGCTAAATCTTTCTTCTCAATCTTTCTTGGTCTGGAAGCGTTCCTGAAACCTGTCCACAGTGGATGATTCTGCTGGAATAGTGTCAATGATTGGACAATGTCTACACACCTAGAAGGGGAATCAATTAATATGACTATTATTAAAATTTATACAACTACTACTAATACCAAAGATGAAGAAAATGAATTTGATTGTTAACTTCTGCAGTCTGAAACTGATCAAATATATAATCAAGACGCACTGATAATTACTGATGATTGGAATGCAAAAGTTGGAAACAAGGAAGGAGGATTAGTAGTTGGAATATTTAGCCTTGCTTATAAAAAAGCCAATGAACATTGCATAATGGAATTTTGCAAGACTTAATAACGTATCATTGGAAATATTTTTAATTTTTTTATTTCTGAAAATATTTTTGTTAACAACATAATCTGTGAACTCCACCGGATGGAAAACACAGGAATCAAATGGATCACATCAGTGGAAAGAGACGCACAATATAATGAGTCTGAACAAAATTAAAGGCCAACTTATTCATACAGTTTCAAGTTGAAGCTTGAGAAAATTAAGACGTTCAAGCTGCACTGTAGTCTCAAGAAGTAATGAAATACTAGTTGAGATACTTAAACAAATGGATGCAATGCTGGAAGTGCTCACTCAACTGTGCCAAGACATTTGGAAGACACCTACCTGTGGTCAACCTACTGACACAGACCCATTATTTGTGCCCATTCCAAAGAAAGGTGATCCAACAGAATTCAGGGATTCTTGAACAATATCATTAATATCACACACAAGTAAAATTCTGCTGAATTTTTAAAATGATTGCAGTAGCATATTAACAGGAAACTGGCAAAAATTCAAGTCAGATTCAGAATAGGATATGGAATGAGAGTATCATTACTGATGTTAGATGGGATCTTGGCTGAAAGCAGAAAATAATATAAAGATGTATACCTATGTTTTATTGACTATATAAAGGCATTTTAACTGTGAATCACAATAAATTATGAATAACATTGCAAAGAATGGAAATTTCAGAACACTTAATTGTGTTCATACGTAACCTGTAAACAGATCAAGAAGCAGTCTTCCAAACAGAGTAAGGGTATTCTGTGTGGTTTAAAATTTGGAAGAGTATATGACTGGGTAGTATCCTTTCACCACACTTATTCAATCTGTATGCTTAGCAAAACTGAGAAGTTGGAGT